TCGCCCGAGGATTCTTGTCTTGCATTTGTAGATAGAGAACAGGTATTCAAATCCTATTTTTTTCTCTTTTTTCTTTTGTATTCCATTCAAATAAATATCTATAAATTTTATTTACAACTTCAAAAATCAATACTCTATATAAACGTTATTTCTCGATGTCTTTCTGTTTTTTTTAAATTCTTTCATTTTATTGGAACAATTTTATTAGATTTTTGTACCTGATAAATATCTCCATAAATGAAGAAAATATGTTGAAAGAAATGTTCTTTTTTCAATAGAGAAAAATTTTTAATTATGTAAATGAAAGAGATAATGATGTTGATATGATCTTTTTTGATATTCAATGCTAATATCATAGAAAATATCTAGAGAAATTAAGATGAAAAAACCCAATTGCCGATTTATGGTTTCTCATATCATTTTTTACATTTTCTCAGATCTTCATTTTGAAGAAATAATTTTTTATTGAAAAGAAATTTTTTCTTTTATTGCAGACATCAATCTTGAAATGGTTCTCTTTTATGAGGTCAAAATAATATCTGTAATTTTTTTTCCACAAAAAAATTATTATTCAATGTCATAAATAGGGAAGCAAAGTTATTGTTTTTCAGTATATTATCTTTGAGTTTGAAGTGTCAAAACTGAAAATAAAATTTATCTTACAGATAGTGTAAAATAATTGTACATCTCCGTATGTATGATGATTGACAAACATTAATCCTACATTACACAATATAAATGTTGTCTTAATTTGATATAGGAGAGTATAGGGAAATCGCATGTATATCCTCCAAAACATCGGACAACATTCATGTCGCATTGTGTATGTTTTAAAATTTTACACTTTTCATTATCAAAAGAATTTAGAAATTTTTTTTTAAGAAAAATTGAAGAAATCTTCATAAAATTCACCCTATTATTTCATTAGAACCTATAAAACACGACAATTCAAATGTAATTCTTATGAGATTCAAAACCGCAAAAGATGCAAAATGTCCCAGTGATATTAAGCGAAGGATAAAGGTGATAGGGGGTGAAGAAGTGAAGAGGGAAGAAAAGAATGAAATCTCGAAAATATGTGTCTTGCGACAAGAACGGTGACGGGGAGGTGTAGGGTTGGTTTGGAAAATTAAAATAGTTTCTCCAGGGAGAATAAAAGACCTTGCAGTAAGGAGGAAAGAGAGAACGAGGTTGGGGGGAATGAAAAAAGACAAGGAAAGAATAAGGTATAGGGGAAAAATAGCATGAAGCCTCTGGCGATGAAACTATAAAGCTACTCCTAGTAAGTTGTAAAATTGTAATAGTCTTCCGGTATTTACATAATGCTGCGGTATAATAAGTGGAACTCTCGCCCGAGTTTCCATTACCATTCCACGGGGGCGCTGCTCACCCTTATCTCCACTAACGACCCGGACCATACCACGTCTTGTTTCTTTTTTTTCCTTTTTCCAACCCCTCGACCTGGTCTTATAAGTAATCACCTAGCTCTCTACCATTGTCAAACATATGATGATCATTTTGTCCACTTAGAACTTGGAGATAAAGTACCAAGTTCTAATAAAATGGTGCTTTAATATCAATAATTTCCTTCAGAGTTCTTGACAAATACAGTTCCTGCAAGAGGTACTGGAAAAAATCCAGGTATTTTTTGTCGAGAACTATATTTTCGCAACAATAAAAAGACAAAGAGAAGCTCATCATGAAGGGGTTGTTCCAGAGAAATAGTCTCTTTCCCCTCTTGCGGCAACTGGTGGACTTGCAACAAGTTCATAGTCAGCTTCTCTTGGATACCTAAATCCGCAATTTCGTCTGTCTTCACCACAATTCCTGGTCCTTTGCTTTAACTCCTTTGTCATGGGTTAAAGTTGCTCGTTCTGCTGACAATGCGTTCATTAGACTCACTCCCAAGTGCCCTGAGAAATTCAACTAGTCTATCAAGAAAATCCTTCGGACTTGTGCTTTGTAAAGCAGCAGCAGCGGCTGTAGAGACTGGATTTCAATCTTCTCTTATTCTTTTCCTTCCTCCATCTTATCCTCTAAAGAGTCTTCATTCAAATAAGTAGTTAAAGCATCTTTCGGTTCGTCCGTTTTTGAGTTCAAGCCGCATGAAGAGTATCTGTTTAATTTTTAAATTTCGTCCATTTTTTCAAGAATTTCAAATTTCATCCACTTCGCTGATTAGTTAAGATAGAATTGTAGGTGAAGAGATTTTTTTTTCCTTGCTTCAGAGTGGCAACCGGAAGACTTGCGAGCTAGAAATGCACAAGGTTTTGTAGATAGGGGTCGTGAAATGTTGGGTGAATTTACTCCCCCCACCGTTTGTATTACTCGCGAAGAGATACGGCCGGATAGAGAGGTCTAAGCCAGCCATCACTGAAATTGCCCTGAGTTTACCATCCCCCTCTGCCCTTTTAGACTCTGCTACTCCATATTTAGCTACCCCTCATGCTTCCATTCTCGTTACTTCTATCCATTTACTCCTATCTTCGTCTAGTTCTCAATCCCGTCCTTTTTCAAATAACTTCCAACATCCTTTTTTTAAACGACTCTATATATCCATTTCATTTCTTTTTAATTATTTAAAATGTTTTTTTGTTTGCTATTTGACTTTTATTTTGTAGTACAATTACGAGTAGAGTTATAACTGGAAACCAATTTTTGAGAATAGCTGTATAATTCACAATGGTTTTATCATCAATTTTAAATTCGTTTGAGAAATTATTTCATTAATTTTTATGACTGGCTTTTGTACACTAAGTATTCTGAGAGAAACCGAAATTTTAGCTGGTATAATATTCATTAAATTTTTAGATAAAAATCACTTGCCTGAAAATAAGTATGAGCTCTTGTTCAAATTTAATATTATTTAACTATTAATAAGAAACATTTAAAAACAATTTATAGATATTTAGTGATTTGACAAAGAAGTAATGTTAAGTTTAATGATTGAATACATTCCTACTTTACCGATAGAAATCGAGGCAATTCCAAGGCCCTGGACAGTTCCTCGTTAGTAACTTGACAAAATTTCTACTAGAGTAATAAAAATATAACGTTAGAGTATTAGTTTATTTAACGTATTTTCAACTTATAACATATGTCTAGTCAATACTAAGACTTTGATGAGGCATTCAAGTTCAAAATTGAGTCTGCTTGTGATTGAAAAGGCAACTATTTATTGGATTGGCCGGAAAATCATTACAAAACTGAAACTACTTTTGAAAATCAAATATTTATTAACACATTACAGATTAATCTGTGAATACAACAATAATTACTTTCAATGCAATGGATATAAAAAATCTTGTAAAAAGAAAATGAGCTTTGAAAATATTTTAATAACATGGATTTGTATTTAACTTTCACTCAAAGAATTCATTTAATACAAGACTTTTCATGAAATAGAAAAAATAATTTTGGTAATTTCAGTGACATAAATTTATTTTTGCTCACATCATTAGTGACACTATGACGATTCCTTCTATGAGCTTAAATATATTTTTTTGTAAGCTATATTTTTTTAACGTAACTTTGACGACTTTTCCTGGATTTTTTTTTTCTCATCATCGACATGTGGGACGGAAAGTACTTGGAAGTGAAAAGCTTCATAGTATGGTGGGACGTGTGGGTGGGAGAAGCAAGAAAGAAAAAAAGAAAAGTCTTCCGACGCACGAGCAACTACTACGTTGCAAAATCCACTTGCTTTTACTAGCATCGTGTAACATACTTCTCGATAGCTGCAAAACCGAGATCCTAACAGTGTGGTTGTAAGGAAAAGTATAAGGGTTGAGTGGGATGGAAAAGAAAATGTGAGAAAAAAAAATTTTCTCATAAATGTTCTTATAATGTAAAGAACTTGTATGCGACCTTCTGCCCTAGATGTGATTATATTAAAATTTTTATATTAATTTTTACTAAATACCGGATGCATAAATAATTAAAGAAATTCAAATTAATTTTTCTTTTTTTGTAAAATAATTTTTATTATAAAGAAACTTGTGTTAACTCATTGATCATGAATTTTTATTATTAACACTAGTAATTAGTGACAAAAATAATCTTGCATAAAAGATAATTTAATTGAAAAAGTATGATATTTATTTAGTTCATTTATTTGTTTTGAGTAATTTTTATTGAAAAATTGAAAGAATAGTGAAAGAAATAAGTCGTAAAGCTTTTTTGCCCGGAGGCTACGTGAAGCTGGATCCATTCATATTTTATCCACCGCTCCTTATCAATTTCTTTAGTCGCTATGTTGCCATTTCTCAAACGCCTCGTTTTTACTCCTTACAACCACCTCGTCAGCTCTTGACTCATTCTTTCCCTCGATGTCGTTTCTATCTACGACCATTCCGTCTGGAAAAAAACTTGACGAAGGGCCGTATTTTTTTTTCGCACTAACATCGATGCCATTCAACCCCTTTTCCTCCCCTATTTATTTCCAACTCCATGCACACCCTTAAAGATGTGATTATTAATCGCGCATATCGCAGTTTCCGAGTGAAAGGAGTGAGAGTTCAATGATTTGCTTGTTTATATTTTCTAAATATTTGACTATGAATTAAAAGACAATTTCAAATAATTATTCAAATATTTATATATAATTAGTTTTTAATTACATAATAGGAGAACTATTATGAAGAAAATAATCAGTCATTCTTCTTTTAAATTCTAATGAGTCGAAAAAAAAAATAGAATTCTTTTTATATAAATATCAACTTGAAAAAAATTGAACAAATATCAATACAAAATATTACCTCACCTTCTCCTAACGTTGAGTATGAACTCTAGAGTTTAAAATAAATGTAGATAAGTAACATCATTATGATCACTTTGGGAAACAAAAACGTTTTACAGATAAAAATATTTTAGCACAATTTATCATCTTGTGTTCATAGTGTTAGTCGTAGAACATAAATATTGGATGTACTTTGTAAACGTCATCATTATTTATTAAATCAGAAAGTTTTCTCTAACAATTGATATTTTTTGTTCATTAGATGGTGACAAGGACAAAGAAGATATTCGTCGGCGGATTATCAGCGCCGACGACGCTGGAGGACGTCAAAAACTATTTCGAACAGTTTGGTCCGGTAAGTAGAACAATTATCTCCACAAAACAATAACTATTAAATAATAAATTAATTCATAATCAATAAATAGGCAGATGGTTGAGTGTTTTTATTAGTATCATGAATATATCAGAGATCACAGATGAATGATGATGATGATGATAGTCAGGTTGTCGATAAAACGAAAACCATTGGTCCGCAATGTGCCATATCCATCGGCTTTTCTCTCTACGCATGATAACCTCCGACGTTTTACTCGGCGCCATGATCATCATGATCACGCTTCGGTGTGTCACCATCGTCATTATATCTATCCCCCTCTCCAGTGATGTCGACGAGCACGTTCCGTTCACTCAGTAAATTTAAATCAGTAATTTCACCACGTGCTTCAGTAATCAACTACGTTATCCTCCCTATATTCTTGTCATCAACATACAGGATTGGTCAAAAACAACTCGCAAAACCAATTTATCTTTCAACTGACATTTTGACATTTTTTTATTGTATCAGTATGGGATTATTTTGTGGATCAAACTACACATATTAAGATTTGCTTTGAAGCTTTTTGTTTAATTGAATGTTTCAATAAAATAGTTGAATAGAGTTGGGAAAATCTATCAGTTGACAAGCAGAAATTAGTCATAAACTTCATGAACATTGTTTGAAGCTACTTTGGGATGTTGGTGTGGAATTTCCTCTGTAAAGTAACCCATATTTATTTAAAATAGGAGAAGTGCTAACTGTTTGTGATTGAAGAACTGATATCCACACATAAGAGACTATAATTATGATGATTCTAAACAGTAGTTGGAGAACGTTTCAGGATGATTAGCTCTCTAATTATGGGCTTTCAAAGTGAGCGAGATAATTTTGACTGAAACTGTGTATATATTCTCATTCTCAATAGAGTATTCCAATTACACTGATTTATATCAAAGTCGTTAATCAATTTTATAGGATTCACGATATTCCAATTATTTGCATCGAAGCACACCAGTAACTTTCAAGGCCGCGCTTCTCTTTGGCCGCAGGAGACCAAACTTAGAGGAAGCCTCGAATATTCTAGGGATGAAATATCTCGGCCATAGAGTTTCGGGTTTCTAATCCACTGGGTCGCTATCGATTGTTCCTCCCTCTTCTTCATTCCTGCAACTATCGAATAGTTTGGCTGATAGTCTATATATAGACTAGTACGCGAATCACTAGGAATCCTCAGCCCTTTATTCCAATCCCCGAGGATCTAAGTTTCATATTCCAAACTGAAATGTTGAAAGCTTCAATGTTTTAGTTGTTGTAAGTGATTTCGTAGGTGTTTTGATCTTATATTTTACTGTTCTATTTCTGTCATTCATATTTGTGGCTTTGAATTTTTTATTTAATTCTCTGGAAACTTTTATTTTAACTTACCATTCTGCCAAACAATAACTGATCTTATTTTATCTGTGTCAATTTTATTCCATTTAGAGGTTCAATTGTTTCAAATATATGAGGGAGTAAAAAATTTTTATTTATCAATTATTTCATTTAATTGTAATTATATTGATATTACAAATATAACAAAACAATTGATTTTATTTATTAATTATCATAATAATTAATGAATTAACAGAAATTGAATTATCAGTAGTACAATTTAAGATGAGGAACGCAATATACGATGCTTTTAATTATTTATATATTAAAAAAAAAAAAACATTGGAGTTTATAAATTATCTTAAATTACATTTCATATGCTTCACAGTTTTCCCAACTTTTTTCTGAAAAAAATTAAAAACATTTCATCTCAAATATCATATCTCATTAAATCTCTACTTTTGTGTAACACTACGTTGATTTAATGCATTTTACCAGAAAGTCATTTCATCTAGATTTCATTTCGCTATATTTGATAATACTCTTTGAGATTTACATCAATGATACAACCAGGCTGCGTTTCTCATCATCTCGTGAATACACAGAAATCAGTGTAATGCGTTTTTACCTCCAAATATAAATCCACTCTACACAATGTAGTGAGCTTGTGTGTTGTGTTATCGCATCTTCACTAAGTACTTAGATAGGTGTCGTACTTGCGTGTTCTTATGTGTGAGTCCAAACCAAAGGAGACGAGAATATGTAAGTGTATCATGTTGAAGCTACTGATCCTATCTTCGTATGTGGGTCATCCACGTCTTGAAGGCATTCTAACTCCTTTCAACTTGTAAGAAACTCTACATTCAGACAAATGTTGTACAATACTATGCAAATATATTCGATGGAAGTGTTGACTGATACAAAAACGTTTCGAAAATTTTTAGAAATATTCAAGATATTTATTTTAATATACTGCAAATCTGAGTGCATTAAAATCACAAATTTTCAATCATAGACGGCAACGATGCATTTTAGACTAAGCAATAACTTTATTTCTTTGCTATTAATAATTTTTATTCTCCAATAAAAAAATTAATATTCGAATTGAATAATGCATTCTAGTTTGTTTGACTTCACTTGTTAGCAATGAAAAGAACCTTTTGTTTCTAAATGACTTAATAATTAACATCATTAAAATTGACCTAGGAACTGTTATAAAGATAAATCATTTCTTATTTACGTTTCATAACTAATCGTAAAAATGTTAATAACTCAAAATAGCATAAAAACTCTTATTTAACATGTAATAATTAATCAAAACAATTTTACCAGCAACTTTGTAGTTTCATTTTATCCCAAGCATAAAATAAATTATTCTAAAACCTGCTCCAATCGATTAGTATTTTCAGTTAAAACTTCACCATTACACTAGTGATAAAAATTTAATGAATCTCCATGATGATAAAAAAGAGACTGGGTATGAGTGAGACGAATGTAGGAGATGAAGAGTTTAATAATACTCTACTTTCATCTTTAGAGTCCCTCTACCTTGGATCACCATAAGTGAAAGCTTCAAAAAGTGAAACAAAAAAGGGGTTGAAAGGAAGAATGAAGTAGTAGCTAGACATAGTGTGCAACTTAGCTCAGACCTCTTGCGCCCGGTGCTTAAAGGTTCGCTACGAAATTAAGAAATTAAGAATTAATGTAACCCGGAAGCAGCCGATTTTCTGTCCCAGCAGTTTCGTTTGATCTAGAGAAAAAAGAAAGCTTGAAAAGCTAAGATGATTTTTCACTCTCTTATTCAATGTCTTTTATATATTTTTTGAAGAATATTTCCACTGACGTACTTACTTTTTCTCACACTCATTCTCTCATTCACTCACACTCCTTCGCTATCGATAAATAAATTTTACGTTCTTTGTCACGTTTGTAAAACGGGATAAATTCCGGTCGTCTGACAGCCATTTAAAACAATGTCGTCGCGAATACGTGCCATTTGTAACCTCGTACTGTTGGTGCTTTTGTTTCGCTGCGCTATTCATTCTACTATTCTGCATCCTCTTTTTTTATTCCTCTCTTATTTCTCTTGAGTCGCACTGCTTTTCATCTACCCCCACTGACGTTGATAGCAAAAGAGCCTTGAAATATACCAGCTCAAGCTAACGGATTCTCGTCATTTTTTATTGTTATTCTGATAAAAATCCAATTAAGCTAACGTCCACATTAAACGAAAATTTTAGTTACTATGAATAGTAACTCGATTTATTATTGAATTCGTCTGAAATCAAGGTGTAGGGAAATTTTATGATTTTAGAGGAAATCTGGTTTTTTTAATGCAGTCTAGACCAGAAATAGGTAATCTTCGAACGGTAAAGTCATGCTTACTAGGAAGTAGAAATTTTTTTTAGATTCATGTGGATTTACTGTTCCTTGACTCTCTTTTAAAATTAAAGAAAGAAAAAAATTAATGATCATAAAACCCATTTCCGAAATAGCTATTAGTTCATTAGTTTTAAAGTGATCATTTATTTCTTGATGACTGATTTTCTTATTTTGAGATCCTAATAATTTTCTCATGTCTCACTTTAAGCTTTCTATGTAAAAATAGTTTTCATGAATCTGATGTCATCTTAATTGGATTCAAAATCATTTTGTTGATTTTTTTAAAACAAAATTAGTCAGACATTAAAATGAAAAAAAATCATTACCGAAATAAATTATTCTTCCGATAATAAATACATGCTGTATAGTATCAATATTGGAAGCATTAAATGAAATCCCTACATTCAAAAGTGTACTTATCGTCAATAGTCTCCCCATCATTTTCTTCAGTGAATCTTAGCAAATCACGAGTGGGGGACGAAAATGTTTGATCGATTGTAAATGCGAAAATGGTCATTCCATATAAGTAACGGACAAATGGATAAATGATTGTAGAAGGGAGAAGAAGAAAAGGAGACTGAGAATTCTTGGGATAAAAAGAAGATAGTAAATCGAAATGATTTTTCGAGGGAATAAAAAAAAAATAGGAGTAGCTCGGGGTAAGTAGAACAGAGATGTCACTTTGCCTCTCTTTTTCTCTCTTAAGGGTGAGATACTGGAGGGGTACGTTCGTAGAATGTAATTTACGAGAGCTCTTTATTCTACCAAGTCGACTTGAGTTCTCAGCAATTTATTAATTTACCTTGGCTTCCGTCATGTCTCCCTCGTTTATTTAATCCTCAGGCAATCCTTGTTACTGTAGGGTGTACACGTTTAATCGTTACACACAACAATCAATAAATTTGCACCTGAAACAATGCTGTGAAAATACTTCGAGAGTTAGATGTCACATTTTTCTTCATTTTTTTATCGCCTCGAGATGTGAGACAATCAGGATTCCATGGATCAAGTATAACTTCACCTATACCTTGGGGCTACCATTATTTTTTATTCTAAAATTATTACGTATTATTATTGAGCCAAGTCTATTGTACCATTACCTGTCATATAAAAGTTTCAATATTGATGTTTTTATTCCAACCATCAATGAAAAAAAATTTATCCCCTTGAAACAATACAAGTAGCTTCAATTCTACTTCAGTTTCCACTTTCTAATTAATAAAGATAATAATGATGTGATAACTTCACTGATTATATGTAGGATCTATTTGTAATTATCATGTAAA